ACTACACTATGTTTGTTTTGATTTGCCGTGAAAGTTTGACAGATAAAATGAGGGGTTCATGAATTTTCTTATGTAACGGCGCCGGTGGTGTAGTGGTAAGCGTGATTACCTCTCACCCCAGAAGGCCTGGGTTCAATCTCAGTCGGCGCCGCCGGGATGTTCTGAGGCATAACATCTCTGATCACGCCTTCCTTCGGATGGGAAGTAAAGCCGTTGGTCCCCGGTTCATGAGTTGATGGGTCGATAGGTAGGGTCCAGGTGTGGGAGCTGCCTTCCTGGCACGTCGGTAGCATTGGTGCTCAGCACGAAAAACAAGATCGACGGAAAAAATAAACCAAAGGAAAAAAAATTTTTTTTCTTATGTTTCGAGGGGTGCATCGATTAGCTTAGGACCGAAGATAGTACCAGAGCTGAGCCAAAAAGTTGAGCACGTATCTTCGGGACCTTCTGGTCTTAGAGTTACCTCTATGATTTGGCTTCGTCAATACCTTAACCTTTTATCGTCAGGGGGATAAACAAAGTCCTAGAGCACTCATTTTTTGCATGAGGATAGACCGTGTTTCAGAGCATCGATTGGCCAAATTTGAACGCTCAAGGACTTTGCGAACCCCCTGATGATAATACGTTGAGGTATTGACGAAGCCGACATACATCCTATAAGCTCTTCTTAAGTTCTGCAATTGCAAATGCAATCCAAAAATCTCCGCACATCCCTGAAATTCTTCAAATTACGAACTTTTCTGAAGTTCTGCAAACTTCTGAGAAGATCTACGGACTTCCCTGAGCTTTGTTTTCCGTCGATCTTGTTTTCCGTACAGAGTACCGATGCTACCGACGACAAGGAGGCATCTACCACCCCTACCTATCGATCCATCTTCAACACCTGGACCCTACCAATTGACCCATCAACTTATGTACCGGGGACCAACGGCCTTACTTCCCTTCTGAAGGAAGGTATGATCAGAGATTTTATGCCTCAGAAAATCCCGACGGCGTCAACCAGGCCCTTTGAAGTGAGAGGCAGTCACGTACTCTGAAGTTCCCTGAAGTTTTAAAAAAATATTCGATAATCTTTTAACTGCTCAGAAGTTCTGCAATTCTCTCTGAAGATCTATGAACTTCTTTGAAGATCTGTGAACTTCTCTGAGATTCTACGAAGTTCTCTGACGTTCTGCTAACTTATCTGACGACCACTGATATTTCCTGAATTTCCGCATATTTCAGTGATGATCATTGGACATCTTTGAAATATTGCAAATTTATCGGAAGATCTACGAACTTCCCTGAAGTTCTGAAAATTTCTCTGAAGATCTACGAACTTCCATGAAGTTCTGCAAATGTCTTTGAAGATCTACGAACTTCCTGAAAATCTACAACAGGCTTATTCTGTGCAGCGTGTAAGGTGAGATGACTCGCTGTCACTTCCCAAGTGACAGTTGTCACCTCGGGTGAGGTGACTCTCCGTAAAAATTGTCACTTCACCATCGCTTCACTGTCTCTTCACCTCATACGCTGTGCAGAATAGGCCTGCAAATGTCTTTGAAGATTTGTTACTTTCTCTTAATATCTACGAACTTTCCAGAACTTCTGCTAATTTCTGACGATCTACGAAACCACGAACTTCCCTGAAGCTCTGAGAACTTTCGTGGTATTCTTCGAATTTCTTACATGTTCTATGATTCAACCAGAACCATCCATGAGTTTTCACGGATTTCCAAAAAAAAAATTACGTACTTCCCAAAAGTTCTAAGAGTTTACCACAAGGTCTACAAATTTCCTAGAAGCTATATGAATATTTCAGAAGTTCTACAATCTTCTCAAAAGTTCTACCAACTTCCCAGAAATTCTACAAATTTCCTGAAAGTTCTACGATTTTCCCCTAGGGGCGGATCACTTGAGGTGCATTTTTTATAACAAAAAAATTAAATGCATTTTCTCAGTGCATTTTGTGATGTGTGACACCTCCCACCAATACATGCATGTATAGATGAAGGGTTTTGTCCTTTTTGTTGTTCGCTTCGGTTTCACTCAAATCCACACTCCTGGCTTGAGAAAATTATTCCAGAAGCTCCTCGACTGAGAACGCGAAAAAAATCCGTCCAATTTTCCGAAAAAGAAATCTCCACCGGAATCGTGCAGAGTCTCCTCCACCGAAAATGCGAGAAAACTCCGTCGAAGCTCATTGGAACCTCCTTTGGCAGCACCGAAATCTCTCGGAACCCTCTTCGCCGTGAACATATGAAAATTCCTTCGAAAGTCCCCCCTAAATTCAGATGCTGCCAACGGAGGTTCCCAGAGACTATCGATGAAGTTTCCACGCATTATCGGTGAAAGAGGTTCTGCACGATACCAGTGAAGAGATTTGATGCTGCAGACGAAAGTTCCAGGGAATATCGACTGCGTTTTTTCACGTTATCGATGGACGAGGTTCTGCGTGATTTCGGTGATTTTGGAAGCTGCCAGCGGGAGTTTCTGGAAGTTCAAACGGATTTTCTTGCTTTCTAGGTGGAGGAGGTTCTGCATGATTTCGAAGACTGCCAACGAAGGTTCTAGGAACTTTGTCTTGTCCTGATAATGGGTTCCACCAGGATTACGTTTAACCATATACATAACATTGGGGCTACATTGAATCTGTTGATGTCGACAAATAAATAAATTACAATTACATAAAGTATGGCCCATTAAAAAATGCGAAATTTCGATAGCGTTTTCTTGCGATATTGGTGGATGGGTCCCATTCGGTTTCGGTGAAGATTTATGATGCTGTCAGCGGAGGTTTAAGGAAATTTTAACGTAGTTTTCACGCGTTCTCAGTGGAGGAGGTTCTGTTGGTGGAGGTTTCTGATTCAGCCAGCGGATGCTCCAGATTCGTCGGAGTTTTATTTTCTCGGGTTTTTAGGTGGAGGAGCTTCCGCATGATTCCGGTGGAGATTTCCGATGCTGCCAACGGAGGTTCTACGAAATTTCGACGGAGTTGTCTCGCGTTCTCAGCGGAGCAGGTTTTACGTGATTTTGGTGTTAGCAGTGGACATTCTGGAGGGAGCTTCTGCACGATTCCGTTGGAGATTTTCTTTGCTGCCGGAGAAGGTTGCAGGGAGTTTCGTGAATTATCTACTCTGAGTTTTCTATTCCTGTTGTGTTTGTTTATCTTCGCCTCAATACATGTATGTATCTATAGGTCTCACATTCACATTCCACTGAAAGGTTGATGCAAATGATTCAAATTAAATGCATTTGATTTAAAATAAATGCATATTCAATGGGCATTCTAAAAGTGAGACTCCCTTAGATTTTCCCAGTAGCTCTACGATCTTCCAAGAATTCCAACAATTTTCGGAGCAGTTCTACGAATATCCTGAAAATTCTGTGAATTTATTAGAAGAACAACAAATGTTTCAGAAGTTCTAGAAACCTCCTAGAACTTCTACAAACTTCCCACAAATGCTACGCCATTTTCTGAAAAATTACCAACTTCTCAGAAGATCTTCGAATTAAATCGAAAGAAGTTTTATGAACATTCCTACGAAGTTTTAATATGTTCTTAAAATTTTCTAGTAGCTCTAAGAACATCCAAAAATTTTCCCAACAGTTTCCACATTTTATTTTATGATATATACTAACTTCACAGAAGCTCTACGAATGTCTCAAAGATCTACCAGCTTGCGAGAAATTCTTTCAGATTACCAGAAGTTCTAGCATTTTCTCAGGATATCTACGAACATCCAAGAAACATTTCCCAGAGGTGGTACCAATTCCTGAGAAGTTCTACTTAATCCCATCAGTTGTTAAATTTTACCATAAGTTCTTCGAATCATTCAGAAATTCTACAAATTTCCTAGAACTTCAACGAATTTCCTAGAATTTCTCGTAACATCCATAAGGATCTACTAATTTTCCAGATGTTCTACGACTTTTTCGGAAGATTCACGAGCATCCAACAGTTTCTATGAAAATTTCCCAGAAATTATACGAATTTCCTAGCAGTTTTACGATTTTCTCAGCAGCTTCTCAAACACCTATCAATGCCTACAAACATCCCATCAGTCGTGAAGTTTTCATTGAAGTTCTACCTATTTTCCGGAAGTTGAAAAAATTTCCCATAAGTTCAATGAATATCCCAGAAGTTCTAAAAAAAAGAACTGTTAGCTTCTCAACTTATCGAAAGTTTTAGGAATCTACCAAAAGTTCAATTAATTTCCTATGAGTTCTATGAATTTCCCGAGGGGGGCGACACATCTAAATCTCAATTCTGGATATTCAAAAAATCTCACACTAGTGAATCAAAAAATCTTCTTTCAATTTTCGCATCAACTTGCATCGCGCTTCATCTTTTTGTAGGAAATCTTCAGATTCGTCATCAATCTTCTTTCTATATACTCAGCGTGTGCACAGCTAGCCACAGCAAAACACAATTTTTCCTGCATCGTAGATAGAGTCGTCCCCCTCGGAATTTCCTACCATATTACCAGAAGCTCTAAACATTTCAAGGATTTGTATAATCTTCTCAGAAGTTCTCCAGCTCTGCTAAATGTTCTACGAACTCCAAACGAACTCCCAGAAGATCTATCAATGTCCCAGAAGTTATACAATTTTCCCAGAAAAAATACGAACTTCCCGAGAGTTCTACGAACTTCCAAGAATTTCTACGATTTTCTCAGCAGGTCTAACATTTTTCCAAATTCTACCAAATTTACATAGTAAACTTCCAAGAATTTCTGCGAAGTTCCCAGCAGTTATAAAATTTTCCCAGAAATTCTGCCAAAATTAATCCACCACGTCCCATAGTACCATTTTTTTCTCAGAGGGCATCAGGACTCATCCACTAGTCTTGATAGTGAGAAAACATTAGTTCTCACTTCTCACTACCGCAAGTGCTCACGTACACAACCGTAAAGTGATGTGGGTGGTCCAGTGGGTGGTAAACAAACTGCTGTCAAAGTTGTGTCGTGTTTTATTATTTTCTAAAAAAAAAATACAGGACAGTGCTGTCCAATTTGTATTCAGTCTGGCTCCTCATTGACTTTTACGCAAGGACGACAAACAGACCACACTAGTGGAGAAATAGTTTGACCTAATTACCGAACACGAACACCATTTAAGTGCAGATCGTTAACTACATTATAGTCACCAATTGCGTAGTTCCCGTCGAAACTTCCCCTCGCCAACAACGATGGATCCCTGCGTGGACGAAGCGAAAATTGTGAAGGAAATCCTCCACGCCGGAACCAAGGTGGTCCCGTTTTGCGATGGCACCAAGATCAAGTTCCACTACCAGACTCGCAAACTGGACGGGACCGTGCTGGACGACAGCCGGGACACTGCCAAACCGATGGAGCTGGTGCTGGGCAAGCAGTTCAAACTGGACGTGTGGGAGGTCTGCGTGCAGAAGATGGCCGTGCACGAGGTGGCCAAGTTCCGGTGCGACAAATCCCTGCTGCAGCAGTATCCGTTTGTAGCGAAAACAATTCGGGATTCGTTGAAGCCCACCGATCAGCGGAAGCACTGCTGCGGAATGACCATCCAGAACGAGGGGATCGGGTACAAAGACTTGGATGAGATCTTCAACAATCCGCAGGATTTGGAGTTTATTCTGGAGGTGTTGTCGATCGAGAGACCGGAGGAATATCAGAAGGATTCGTGGCAGCTGAACGACGAGGAGAAGCTGGACCAGGTGCAGCGGCAGAGGGAAAAAGGGAATGAGTGCTACGCGAGGAAGGACTATGAGGGGGCGACGGAGGCGTATTCGTTCGCTACTGGACTGGTAGAGCAGTTGATGTTGAAGTAAGTCGATAGAATTGCGTTGCAATTAGGTTGAAGATAATCGGATATTTGATTGTTTTAGGGAAAAGCCAAACGAATCGGAGTGGTGTGAACTGGCCCGGCTTAAGGTGCCCCTGCTTTTGAACTACTCGCAGTGCAAACTGTTGGACAACGACTACTACGCAGTGATCGAACATTGCAGCGAAGTCCTGGACAAGTACGACAACGCCAATGTGAAGGCCCTGTTTCGGAGGGCAAAGGCCCACGTGGGTGCTTGGAATCCGGACCGAGCGAAGGAGGACTTCCAACGGGCAGCCGAGCTGGATCCGACGCTGGCGGGGGCCGTTGGTAAAGAGTTGAAAAACCTTCAGGAAATGATTCGACTGAAGGACGTCGAGGATAAGTTGAAGTTTCAGAAGTTGTTCTGAGGATAAGGGGTTCAGTATTAAGTTGCTCGGGTGGGTGGGTGTGTGGGTGTTATTGTATGTAAAAGTGTCTTGATGTATATGTTTTAGCTGACTTCCTATATTTCCCATAATCGCATAATTGTCCAACATGGATAGGCAACTAAGCAAATATGGGACTGATATGCGATTATGGGCAATATAGGTTTTAATTTGTTGTTAGGAAACGCTTATGCGAAATTGTTCTTGTGATTTACGAGAAGCGAATGCAATCACTTTAGGCATTGTTGTTGAATGGTGTAGTACTGTGAAGCCGCGGCCATATCGAAAAAAAACTTATCTCGATGTTTAAATTGCTCTAGAACAGCCGAAATTCACCATTTTTGAAAGATTAATCCAGTAGGGTGTAGAACGACTTCGACAGAAACAGTTTGAGATATTTAACATTTTAACTTTTTTTTTAAATTTGTACTCAAAATTACTTAAACAAATTTACCGTATACATTTTTCCTAAAAAGACTATCGCCCATACTCTCGATAGTCAATTTATTAAAAATGCCAAAACACATTTTGAAAAAAAAATAACATACAAGATCCTAAACCGAATTTTAGCAAAAATGTGCATGATTGCCCGTAACAAACAATTATGCATAGTTTCATGCTAATCGAAGAGGGTCGAGTCTGATCGATTCAGCATTTGGCATGGAACTGCTCAATATTAAATCGGCAGCTATGGAAACGTAATAATCCGCCAACGCAAAACAACATCATGATCAGGTAGGGGAAACTCTCCTCTACCCTATTGTGTTTAAGGTTTGCGAATGTAGGTTTCGGTTTGCGAGAAAATGGCCTTACAGGGTTTGTTTACAAAATGGAGTTGAGGCCTTTTCAATTGTTGGTCTTGATATTCTTGTTTTCGTTCGAACCGTATTTTTCATATAAAAACTACAAGGGACAATCCAATGGGGTTGTACGAGCAGTTGATGTAGGACTACGCTTACATATGTTAACTATTTTGATCGAACGTTATTTAACATTTCCGATGTTATTATGACATCCGTTGATTTCTTCCAAAGTGTAATAATTGATCAGTGTCCATTTTCCGTTTATTACTAATAAAATTCTTAGAAACCAACTCTTTCTTTGAAAATTGTAGTGCCCTGAAAAGGGCCGTTTCGATGGTTTGTAGCTCTGAAAAGAGCCGTATTTAGGTTTTAAGGCCCTCAAAAGGACCGTTTTGGTGAAGTGGTTTTAAAAAGGTGACGTTGTTGTAAAAGGATGCTGTAATGTTTGTCTTCTTTGCATCACAGCCGGCGTTTCTTATCAACTCACCGACGTAGTTGTTCTTCCAGAGCACACGATGAATGTGACCGAATGTGTGTGAATCTCAGAATTACGAGTTCGCGGTGGACTGTTGAGGATCATTCTAAGGATCTTGTTTTGGATCCTCTGAAGCTTTAGGTGGTGGCACTTAGCACAACTCTCCCAGATTGGCATACCATACTCATGAGCACAGGCGCACTCTTTAAGGGGAAATATTTTTGTCGCCCTGAAAAGGACGGTTTTGGTTTGATGCGCATGGTTCGAGCGGCAAGCAGATTACCCGGATGTTGGCTCTAGGCAAAAGTTGGTTGGCAAAAGTTGATAATAGGCGGATCTCCACTTTACGATGAACAACACGCACTATATCGTGACGCCACTTATCACAGGTTCGTATTCTTCTGGCAGCGGCGGGATTGACGCACGGTACCGGGTTGTTCGATCTTTGTCGTGGTTGGGGAATTCTGAGATCTGTAAGCACTTTCTCCACGAATACGGTTAGCTAGTTTGATGTTCTTCGGCATGACGATGACGCGCTTGTTGAAGATGTCCCACAGTGGTGTTTCTCACGATAAGTAACTGTACCCGAACAGTGGCAGTGTGGCTTATTCACTACTTCTATGGCTAGATAGATCTTGCAGGTAGCAATCAGCTTGCGGGGAGCCTGTACACCGGTCCACATGTCGATCGCCCACGATATGAACACGTCCAAAGTTGCAAAGGAAATTCGGCTTCGGCTTGTTTCGTTTGGGAACAACTATGTGATGGCTGTGTTAGGAAAGACACCCAATTTTAGTTAAATTTCTTAGCTATTTAACTATTTGTATGTGTACTATATGCCGCAAAATTGCTGAATGAAGCCCCCGTCGAATGGCATATTGCATGACATATTTCACATTAATGCTTTTGAGAAATATGCGTTCAAAATCTTTCATAATTTCGTTACATGTTCCATTTTCGGTTTTCGGCAAATGGGCCAAATTTACGTGACATAATTAATGGACCTTCCCTATAGAAATCACAGACGTAGTTTCAACGTCAAAAATCGTTCACAGGAAGACCTGACGATGGACTTGGTGGTGGCTCGGTTGCGAGATGAATGCCAGAAACGCGAATGTCAGCAGAAAAGTGGTTCGAAGCAGGAGAAAGCTTTTCGAACGGAAGTGAAAGTGAAAAGTGACCAACGAAAGTGTCTCTTTTGCCATCAGCCAGGCCATTTCTGAAGAAATTGTCGGAAGTTCCTCCCCTTGCGCTGAAGGGGTTCACCAACAGTTACCTCTATGGTTCAACGTTGTTGTTCAAGGTTAACCACTGTGAAATAATATCCGCTGGTGATGTCGTCGTAGCTGTTGGTGAAACACAAGCCAACCAGTTTGTCCTGAAGATAGCTGAAGCATGTATGGTTACGACTGGAAATCACACTGATAATTGTCAACACACATGGCACCGACGAATTGGTCATCGGGATATGGATGCTGTGGGCGTTATTCAATCGAAGGAGTTGGCGGATAGATTAGATATAAAGGATTGTGGTGAACGGGTTGTCTGCGAGTGTTGCCTTAAGGGGAAACTAGCTCGGAAACCCTTCCCACAGCTAACAGACCGGAAATCGAAGCAACCTCTAGATCTTCGCCATACGAATATCTACGGCCCCATGGAAAATCTGACACCGAGTGGCAATAAATATTTTATGACTATGATTGACGATTATAGTCGTTTCTGTGTGGTTTTCCTGTTGAAGTCGATGTAGTATGTTCTCTGGGCCAAGAACTTGTTTGCTCGCAATCCTCGAGTCGTGAGATCGGATGGCGGCAGAGAGTACGTTGCCGAAAGTCTGCAAGGATTTTACAGGAGGTATTCGTGCGTAGTTCTCCACGCCCTACTCACTACAGTGTAGCGGAGAGGCAGTATAAGTCATTGCAAGAAATCGCGAACTGTATGCTTCTTGACGCGAGTCTCCAGAAAACGCTATTGGGGTGAAGCAATTCTGACAGCTGCTTTCATTCAAAATCGACTGCCGTCGAGGGTGATTGATTGCACCCCATTTGAGTTATGGACTGGATTGAAGCCTGATCTTTCTCGGTTTGATAGCAGTGATCGAACGTCACGTTTATTTTTGCAGTTCTAATTTTTTTTCTGCTGCTCGAGTGAATTTTTTGAGGATATCAAGACTTTGGCTCTACAACTAGAAGTCAAGCAAATAGAGATCTGAAGTTTGTGAAACGTGAATCTGAACCATGAAGTCTGAGCAGTGATACGCAAATTGGATGGGTCTGCTGTGATTTTTGTCTAGGCTGGTTCCACATTTCCTTTGTGGTTCGTTCTTCATAAGGGCTGTACTGCAATGGCTGCTTCTGAGCCCCGGGCAGCGTGTATTTTTACTAGTGGCTTTGAAACCAAGGTGGAGCCTCAAACGAACTCGTGACTTCCCGATATTATGATGGAGGTATGGCGGATAGCTGAACCTATCAAAGGAGCACATTACTCGGGAAATTTTAGATAGATGAACTGGAATGGTATGTTGGATCCTGTCAAGAAGTGGATCATCTACAATTGGAATTGCTACGTTGAAAAGTGGTATAGCGTCTTGTTGCAGACTTGGTAAGTTCTTTTTTTTATCGTTTTTTGTCAGTTTGTACTTTGTTTCCGTGAATCCATGTTTGAGGTTGATCTTGTGCACACGGTTCGAGAAGGAGTAGACCATAGAGGTAACTCTAAGACTAGTTGGTCCCGAACAAACCAGCTCTACTTTTTGGCTCAGCTCTGGTACTATCTTCGGTCCCAAGCTAGTCGAATCACCCCTCGAAACATAGGAAAATCCAATAACCCCTCATTTTATCTGTCAAACTTTCATAGCGAATCAAAACAAACATTGTGTAGTACTAGAATTTTGACAAGAATGGGGTCCGTTAATCGATTTGCTTGGGACCAATAGGCTAGCAAGTAGTGAGCCAATTTAAAATCGTTAGTTTCGTATTGAGTAGACTGTGCGTGTGACGTTTGTTTTTTTTTTTTGATTTTGGCACACTGTGTAGAGTGACCAACCCCTTGGGTTAACCCCGACGGTGCAAAACCTAATATTACACGACATGTTTGTTTACGTCTCATCTTTTATGTCAAAGATGGATTCCGTCACGCGTAAAAAATAGTTATTTCTAAGTGTGCATCAAAAATCGACTACATAGCGGAAATAGATGTAAAGTCGGCCTAAATGCCCCTCATTTGGGCCTATACATAAATTCAGCGATCGACTAAATTTTAAATAGTGACCAAAAATATCCAATAGATAAAATTGATAAATAGCTAGTTTTTAGTAACGATCCCTTGACCATGAGAGCCATTTCCCCTCCATCCGAACATTTTTTATTTCAAATCGAGGGAAGACATTCCGCTCAACTACCATAAACCGGACTAGTTCATGTTGATCTTCGTCAAGCTTCGTCTACAATTTGGACTTCTACATCAACACATGTCTAACTGCCTTCAGGTTCAATTGGCTAAACTTGGCGAGTTCGTTCCATTTTGTAAATTTTTATATTTTCAAACCAGTAACGTTGGGAGATCACCTATTTGTGGTGCGTTACTGGTCTAAGATCTACCACCGAACCCTAGCCGTGACAAATTCAAACTAGGGAATCAGGATTTTCCAATTATCAAAGGATAACATTTTATTCCTTGTTACTTTTTATGACTTGATAATAGTGACAAAACTCGGGTAGTGACCACCGCCGTTATGCATTTCTATAT